ACAGGACAAAAACAACCCCAAACCATTCAAAACCACCCCCAAACCACCCTAAAACAACCCCAAAATCACCTTGTCCTGCTTCTCCTATGGGACACGGGGTCAGAGCCCCAAACCAGGCAGAAAAACTGTGAAAACCACCCTAAAACACCCCAAACCACTCTCAAAACACTCCCAAACCACCCCAAGGCCACCTTGTCCTGCTTCTCCTATGGGTGGTGTAATGTGAGGGTTTGTTCATCAAGAAGTTTGGGGGGAGGGAGGCTCTCTGTGGCTGTCCTTATGTGAAACAATTCTCCTTTTGACTCTGTACCTGTTGTACTCTGTAGGTAATGGGGGGAGGTCAGTTGTATTGTTGCGGGGATCGTGAGAGAGAAAAAGGGGGCTGGGTGGCTCGAAGTGGTGTCTTGTTGCAACGCTTGAGGGGAGGGGAGGGGGCTGCGACCGTGAGGAGGCTGGAGGCTGGCAGTGGACGCTTCTCGAAACTTCTCGGTAATGAGACCCCTGCAACAAAGGGAACCAATGGGGAAGAGCCATGTCAACATCCGAGTGAGGAGGGGCGACAGGATTGGCCGGGGCCTTGAACCGGAGAAGATAAAGGACCGCCTCCCAGGGACCACCTGCGCGCGTCTTGGGCGGAGCCGGGGACTCCTCGGCACACCCAGCGCTGTTTTATCTGCTATCGCTTACTCAGTTTAATAAAATATATACTTTAAACCAAAATTGGCTAGAATATTGATAACACCCCCTGCACCCTAAAACCACCCCCATGCATCCCAGAAGCCCCACGGCACCCAAGCCCCCCCTCTGCACCCCAAAACACACCTCTGCACCCAAATCTACCCCCACTGCACCCCAAAACAACCCCTCTGCACCCCAAAACCACCCTATGGATTCCCCCATGCACCCAAAACCCTCTCAAGGACCCCCCCGAATACATCCTGCAGCCCGGTTTCCCCCCCTGCAACCCAAAACTGCCCTGGGCCCTCCCCCATGATCTTTTCCTCCCCACTCCTGAACCCCAGAACCCTTTAGGGACCCCCTCTATACTTTAAACCCCCCTGGGTTTCCTTCTGAAGTGGGGGCTGGGCTCATAGGGGTCCTTAAAGCCCCCCCAGATTCTCCCTAAACCCAGTGCTGAGACCTTTTGGGGTGCCCCCGACCCCTCCATGGTCCCTGCAGCCCTTTTGGGGTCCCCAAGCCCCCCCTCCCCCCAAAAATGGGATCTGGACCCCTTTGGGCCCCCAAAACTCCCCTCAGCGTTTGGCTTTGGGCCCCCCCCTTGCCCCCCAGGTTGATGCTGGAGGCCGCGGGGCTCTCAGGGGCTCAGGGGACCCAGATCCAGCAGGGCCCAGAGCTACGGGGCAGCCCCATGGACTCCCCAGAAACTGCCCTGGGGCCACTGAGGAGGCAGCTGCAGGAGGGGAAGCCGCGGCTGGTGGGTGCCAACGGGGGAATATAGGGATTTGGGGGGGTCCTGATGGGCTTGGGGGGGTCTGGGAAGTGGAATTTGATGGTTATGGGGAGGGGTTGGGGTCCCTAAAGGGTCCCAGCGCCGCTTTTTGGGAGGGATGAGGGATATGTGGGGGTCCTGGAGGGGGATTTTGGGGTGGTTTGGGCTGGATTTGGGGTATTTTAGGCTGGTTTGGTCTGGTTTTGGGGTGCTGACGTGCCACCCCCCAGTGCAAAGGGCCGTGTCCCTGTTCTCCCTCATGGAACCGGTGCTGAGCCCTTACCCCCCCTACCCCCAGAGAGGCCGCGGGGGTCGCCCCCCCCATCAGGTACAGGGACCCCCCTATATGGAGACCCCCCCCATGTCCCCCTTGTATGTGGGGCTGGGACCCCCACATGTGGGTCTGAGATCCCCCCCCAATATGGGGATGCCCCAGTGCACCCCCCCATTCCCCTTTGTCCCCCCCACACCCCCCCCCATCCTTGGACCTACCCCAGAAGGTGTCGCAGCTCGAGGCCAGGCTAAAGCAGCTCCACAGCGACCTCCAGAAGGTTCCATTTTGGGGGGGTTGGGGTGATTTGGGGCTGTTTTGGGTTCTCACTGGGTGCCACCCATAGGAGAAGCAGGACAAGGTGGCCTTGGGGTGGTTTGGGAGTGTTTTGGAAGTGGTTTTGGGTGTTTTAGGGTGGTTTTCACCGGTTTTCTGCCTGTTTTGGGGCTCTGACCCCGTGTCCCATAGGAGAAGCAGGACAAGGTGATTTTGGGGTTGTTTTAGGGTGGTTTGGGGGTGGCTTTGAATGGTTTGGGGTTGTTTTTGTCCTGTTCTAGGGCTGTTTTGGGGCTCTGACCCTGCGTCCCACAGGAGAAGCAGGACAAGGTGGTTTTCGGGTTGTTTGGGGGTGTTTTGAGGCTGGCTTGGGGTTCTGACCCTGTATCTCATAGGAGAAGCAGGACAAGGTGGTTTTGGAGTGGTTTTCTCCTGTTTTGTTTTCTTTTTGGGGTCTTTTTGGGGGCTTTGACCCTGTATCCCATAGGAGAAGCAGGATAAGGTGGTTTTGATGTGGTTTGGGGGGGTGGTTTGGGAGTGGTTTTGTGTGTTTTACGTTGGTTTTGTCCGTTTTGGGGGCTGTTTTGGGGATTTTGGACTGTTTTTGTCCTGTTTTGAAGCTGTTTTTGGGCTCTGACGGTGTATCCCATAGCAGAAGCAGGACAAGGTGGTTTTGGGCTGTTTTGGGGCTGTTTTGGGTTGGTTTTGGCCTGTTTTGAGTCTGTTTACGGGCTCTGTCCCTGTATCCCACAGGAAAAGCCGGACAAGATAATTTTGGAGTGGTTTTGGCCTGTTTTGGGGGTTCTTTTGGGTGTTTTGGCCTGCTTTTGGCTTGGTTTTGTCCTGTTTTGTGGCTGTTTTGGGGCTCTGACCCTGTATCCCATAGGAGAAGCAGGAGAAAGTGATTTTGGGGTGGTTTTAGGGTGGTTTGGCCTTGTTTTTGCCTGGTTTTGGCCTGTTTTGGGGCTATTTTGGGTCTGTTTTGGGGCTCTGACCCTGTATCCCTTAGGAGAAGGAGGACACGGTGGTTTTGGGTGGTTTGGCATTGTTTGGGGTTTGCTTTGGGTGGTTTGGTCTGGTTTTCGCCTGTTTTTGGTCTGTTTTGGGGCTATTTTGGGCCTCTTACCCTGTATCACGTAGGAGAAGCAGGACAAGGTGGTTTTCGGGTGTTTTGGGTTGTTTTTGTCCTGTTTTCGGGCTGTTTTGGGGCTCTGACCCTGTGTCCCATAGGAGATGTAGGACAAGCTTGCCTTGGGGTGGTTTTTGGGGTGTTTTGGGTATGTTTTGGGTCTGTTTTGGGTCTCTTTTGGGGCTCTGATCCTGTATCCCATAGCAGAAGCAGTTCAAGGTGGTTTTGGGTTGTCTTTTTCCTGTTTTGGGGCTCTGACCCTGTATCCCATAGAAGAAGTAGGACAAGGCGGTTTTGGCCTCTTTTTTTGGCTTGTTTTTGTGCTGTTTTGTGTCTTTTTGGCGGCTCTGACCCTGTATCCCACAGGAGAAGCAGGACAAGGTGGTTTTGGGGGGGGTTTTGGGGTGGTTTTAGGGTGGTTTGGGGTGGTTTTTGTTTGTTTATGTCCTGTTTTGGGGTTCTGACCTTGTGTCCCATAGGAGAAGCAGGACAAGGGTTTTGGTGTGTTTTGGGGGTGGGTCTGGGGACTTTTGGGGTGTTTTTGTACTTTTTGGGGATTGTTTTGGGGCTCTGACCTTGCATCCCATAAGAGAAGCAGGACATGTTGGTTTTGGGGTGGTTTGGGGGTCGTTTGCTGGTGCTTTGTGGGTGTTTTTGCCCTGTTTTGGCCTGTTCTGGCTTTCTTTTGGGGCTCCTACCCTGTATCCCACAGGAGAAGCAGGACAAGGTGGTTTGGGGGGTCGTTTTGGGGGTGTTTTGCATTGTTTTTGCCCTGTTTTTGTCCTGTTTTGGGGCTCTGACCCTGTATCCCATAGGAGAAGCAGGGCAAGGTGGTTTTGGGGTGGTTTTAGGGTGGTTTGGGGTGGTTTTTGTTTGTTTATGTCCTGTTTTGGGGTTCTGACCTTGTTTCCCATAGGAGAAGCAGGACAAGGGTTTTGGTGTGTTTTGGGGTGTTTTTGTCCTGTTTTGGGGCTATTTTGGGGCTCTGTATTGCATAGGAGAAGCAGGACAAGGTGGTTTTTGGGGTGGTTTTAGGGTGTTTTGGGGTGTATTTGGGGTATTTGTGGCCTCTTTTGGGGCTAGTTTGGGGCTCTGACCCTGTGTCCCGTAGGAGAAGCAGGACAGGGTGGTTTTGGGGTCCTTCTGGGGTGTTTCTGTCCTGCTTTTGGGCTGTTTGGGCTCCGCTGTTGGCAGTGGGGACACATGCCATGCCAGACCTTGATGTGAAGGATGGCCTCCCCTGTTACCAGAGAGCCATACAGCAGAAAAAAGGGGCAGGCCCAGCAGCCTGTAGTTGGCATATATTGGAGATATGATCTAGGGCAAATCCCCTGCTCAAGTAGGGTCACCCAAAACATATATAAAACAAAAAGGGGGAGATGTGGAGGCAGTGTTCTCACAGGAGAGTGGATAATTGGTACATAAATTCTGAATAATCCTGAAAGATGCAGCAAGGCCGTGAGAGGCCCGAGGAAGCCTGAACAAGCAAGATAAGAAGAAGCTGGAATTCACTGAGGTAATGAGAACTGTGGACTGTTGGCAAGTTTTCGAGGTCAAGTTCTCACACCTGTGCTTAACCAATTCTATGTTAGTCACTAAGGGTCTTCAAGACATGTATCCAATCATAATATGCCAAATCAAGACATGTATCCAATCATAATATGCCAAATCAAGACACGTATCCAATCATAATATGCCAAATCACTGTAAGTGCATGTAAGAAATAGTATATAAGGAGTTACGGCTTTGTAAAAAATGGCTTTTGTCTGATCATATTGATCTCTGACTGAGTCCATGTGTTTTCTGCGGCACGGAGTTATGGGGGGGGGGGGGGCAGGAGGCAGCAGGCGGGCACTAGGACCCTGATTCCGGCGCTAGAGGGGGCGGGCACTGGGACCGGCTCCTGAAAGGGAGGAGGCGTCAGGCGGGCACTAGGACCCCGATACCGGAGCTATATAGTGCTGAGGGTGCTGGGGGTTCTGTAGGTGCTGGGCTGACTGGGTGCACTGGAGCTGTTGTGGTTGCTGGCAGTGGTGGGGGTGGTATGGGTGCAATGCATGCTATGGGTGCTGGGGGCTCTATGGGTGCTGGGGGTGCACTGGGTGCTGTGAGCCCTGGCCCCAGTCCCTGCTCCAGCTGGATGCAGGGATGAAGCAGAACCATGGAAGTTTGGGTTCTCCTTCATCATTTGGGTGTGGAGAGGAGCCTTCAGCATGGATTGAAGCCATAGGACAAGGGGTGATGGGTTCCAACTGGAACAGCGAAGTTCAGGTTGGAGATAAGGAAGTGAGGGTGCTGGGACACTGGGATGGGTGGGATGGAGAAGAAGGGATGGGCTTGGATCAACCTGGTCTAATGGAAGCTGTCCCACCTGCCTCTTCATGCCATGCTTTAATGGTGGGGCAATGATTGGACTTGATGCTCCTGAAAGTCTTTCACAAACTGGTTGATTCCCTGATTCCCAGCTCCCGCTTCCCACTGTTCCCTGCCCTCCATCCCTCATCCCCATCCCTGCGCACGGACCAGAAGAAGAGGTGGGCACGCAAAGCATCCTCTCTATGGGAAAATAAGGCAACTGTATTGAAGCTGAAGCCAACTTCAAGCGACGCCGCTCCTCAAGGCTTCTTCCCCCTTAGAGCCTGCAGCAGCTCCTGCACCCGACTGACAAATTCCACGAGCACCCGGTATGGGAAGGAGCAGATGTCACCGGTGCTCGAGGCCGTCGGAGCCGGCATCGTCTGCTGGATGGGCGCATGCGAGCCGTGCTGGTGGCTCCATGTCGAGGGCGTCGCGGAGGCTCCCGCGGAGTGGAACGTCCCCAGCTGGTGGAGGATCCACTCATGGAAGTGCCTTGTTGAGGTGTAGACCCCCGGTTGCTTGGCCCTGGCGCAGCCGCGGCCCCAGCTCGTCAGCCCCACAACCCAGAAAAAGTTGGCATGGTTGTCCCGGCACATGAGGGGACCGCCACTGTCACCCTATGGAGGAGAAACAGAGAGGGGATGAGGATGGGGATGGGTGGCCATGGCAACGCCTGAGGGGACCACTGCTGCTACCCTTTGGAGGAGAACGGGAGAGGATGAGGATGGGGATAGGTCGCCATGGCAAAGCAGAGGGGACGTCTGCTGCCACCCTATGGAGGAGAACGGGAGAGGATGAGGATGGGGATGGGTGGCTATGGCAATGCCGGAGGGGACCACTGCTGTTACCCTATGTGGATGGAAGGGTTCTCCTTCATCATTTGGGTGTGGAGAGGGACCTTCAGCATGGATTGGAGCCATAGGACGAGGGGTGATGGGTTCCCACTGGAACGAGGGAGTATGGGTTGGAGATAAGGAGAAATTGTTCCCTATGAGGGCGGTGGGACACTGGGATGGGTTGGATGGAGAAGGATGGATGGGGCTTGGAGCAACCTGGTCTAATGGAAGGCATCCTTGCCCCTTGCTTAGAACTGGATGCTTTAAGCTCCTTCCCAACCTAACCCATTCCATGAATCCATGCTCACGACATGGTTTAGTGGTGGAATCTCAATGCTCTTAAAGCTCCAACCTCTATGGTCCCTGCGCAGGGATGATGGAGCAGGAGCTGGATGCGCTTCCAAAGCTGGGATAAAGGGGGATGCAGAGCAAGGCCCTGCAGATGGGAGAGGAGAAGGGAGCCCCAGTGGCACATCCTTACCTGGCAGGTGTCGATGCCACCCTGCGGGTACCCAGCACACAGGTTGTGGCTCTTGATGGCCCCTCGGTACCATAGGCTGCTGTTGCAGACCTTGGCATCGATGAGGCGGACCTTGGCCTCCTGCAGGGCAGATGGGGACGATGCCCCTGCTGTGGGGACACAAAGGGGGTCAGGACTGGGGGGAGAAGGAACGGATATGGGGCTATTTGGGGCTGAAAAGATCAATGGGAGCCATCAACACCGCCCCATGGCATGGGCTGCATCCCCTTTGTTCTGCATCCTCAACATAAGGAGGACATGGAGGGACCTTCAGCGATGGGACAAGGGGTGATGGGTTCCAACTGAACCAGGGATGCTCAAGTTGGAGAGAAGGAAGTGGTGGGAGACTGGGATGGGTTGCATGGAGAAGGTCGGGATGCTCCATCCCCAGTCGGAGCAACATCCAATAGATGTGGATGAGCTTTACCCTCCCTTCCATCCCATTCCATGAATCCATGACCCGGCATCCCAAGGCCAAAGGGGCCATCGGGCACTCACTTCTGGCCTCCCTCGCGCCCCATCCGCTGATGAAGCACTCGGAGAGCTGGGACACGCTGAGCGTCGCATCGGGCAGGCAGGCGAGCTGCACGTGGTACCCGCACTGCACCGGCTGGTCCAGCTCCACCAAGGCAATGTCGAAGCCGCCGGAGACGTTAGTGTAATATTCATGGACCACGACCCTCTGGATCCAACGTTTCTGGGTCTCGGAATTGGCCCAAGCCAGGTCTGTGATTCCGACCATCACGTACCAATCCGTGGTGAAGCTGGGAGGGAGTGGAAGAGCAGGGATTGGAGCCATAGGACAAGGGGTGATGGGTTCTGACTGGGAATTGCAGGTTGGAGATAAGGAAGGGATTCCCTATGAGGGCACTGGGATGGGATGGATGGAGAAGGTTTGGATGCTCCATCCCTGGTAGTGCTCAAGGCCAGCTTGGAGCAAGCTGCTCTATGGAAGGCATCCCTGCCCATGGCAAGGGCTTGGAACTGGATGATCCCAAGCTCCTTTCCCACCCAACCCATTCCATGATCCATTCCATTCCATCCCATCCCATCCCATTCTATGGAGGGGTGGGAAGGAGCCACATTCCTGCTGCTGCCCAAAGGAAAGCACTGCCCCAGCTCGCCTTAGGCTCAAGGGCTGTCAAGCTGGAAGCAGCCTTCTCCTGAGCGCTCCTCCAAGTGCATCCAGGATGGGGAAGGGGACAGGATGGGAGCTGCTCCTTGGCTATTCCCTATGGCTGGAATCCCTTCTCCCCCTTACTTTTGCCCGATGAAGCAGTGAGCGGCCGTGAGGACCCATTGTGGGGTGATGAGGGACCCCCCACAGATGTGCGAGAAGCCGGTGGCCGTGGGGAACTGGATGCTGACCATCCATGGCCAGGCGCCCTGGTGCGCATCCACGCCTCCGACGATGCGCGACACCCCATAGGAATCAGCCATGGGACGGGTACCGCAGGTCCCTCTGGAAGCAGAAGCCCAACACCGGATGGTTAGGGATGAAGGGCGGGCATCATCCCGCCCCACTGGGTGACGCAGGGACAAGGGACCCTATGGGGTGCCCCATAGCTGTGCTGTGCCACCGCATGGGGTGATGGCGAGGAAGCGGGGCTCTCCCAGTCCCACCACCCCACTGGTGTGACCATGGTTGGGAGCAGCAGCATCTCCCTATGGAATACCAGGAGCCCCGGAGCCTGGTGCCACTCACCCACAGCTGTCCCAGGAGCCATGCACCAGCCAGGCCAATGCCAGCAGGATGAAGACATGGAGCAAAGCCATCGCTGTCATCACCGCTGAGGGTGACCCCAAGGTGCCACCAAGGTGCTGCCACCACCACTAAGGGTGACACCAAGGAGCTGCCACCAAGGAGCTGCCACCAAGGAGCTGCAACCAAGGAGCTGCCACCAAGGAGCTGCCACCAAGGAGCTGCCACCAAGGAGCTGCCACCAAGGAGCTGCCACCAAGGAGCTGCAACCAAGGAGCTGCTACCAGCGGGCTGCCACCAAGGAGTTGCAACCAAGGAGCTGCCACCAAGGAGCTGCCACCAAGGAGCTGCCACCAAGGAGCTGCCACCACCACTGCACCCAAAGCGCAACTGCCCCAGGGATACGGGTGCTGCATACAGGTCCCTTGGTGCTGCGGCTGATGTCATAGAGAGGCAGGTTTCATGGGGGGGGGGGGGGGGGGGGGCATGGAGGATTCCATGGGGGGTTCCATGGGGAGATGGAGGGGGTCTGATGGGCTTGGGATTATCTGAATCCCTATGGGATGCTCTGGAGCTCTGTGGGATGCAAAAATTGGAAGCAAACGGGGGGCACCCAAAGATGGATGGGGGTCACCCAGAGATGAATGGGGGCACGCCAAAGGGCAATGGAAGCAGATGGGGGCACCCAAAGGCTCAAACAAGCACATGGGAGCCCGCCAAAAGGACCAGGAAGGTGCCCAAGGAACCGCAAGGATGAGGGATGCAGGGGGCAGAAGCAGCATCCCCATGGAGCAAGGTCCCTGGTGAGGATTTATCCCACATTGATCCCAAAACCACCACTGTTTGCCCCTCAAAAGCACCCAAAATCCTGGGATTTGGTGGGCAAGGAGTGGTGAAGGAGTTGTCCTTATATCCCAGAGCCTGGAAGCGGGATCTGGCAGCAGGAGCCTCCGTGCAGGCCCGGATCCAAGGACATGGCTGCTGCCCCAGAAGCAGCTTCCCAGCTTCTTCTTTGGGCCAAAAAGAGGTGGAATGGGGCCCAGGTTCTTGTTAAAAGCCACTTTGGGGGGGGTGGGGGGGAGTTCAAATGGTGCCAAATCCAGGGAATTTGCCCAGGAGGGGGAGGGGGAGGGTGGGGAAAAGAAGGGATTGGAAAGGGATTGGTGCAGAAGGAATGGGGTTTGTGTGGTTTTCCTGGAATTGGGCATGGTTGGATGGGGCTTGGAGCATCCCGCTCCATGGAAGGTGTCCTTGCCCATGGCAGGGGTTGGAGCTGGATGAGCTTTAAGGTGCCTTCAACCCAACCCATTCCGTGATTCCATGACTCCATGATCCCACACCTCTGTGCTGCAGTGTGGATGTTCCCTGGTGTAGGGACCTTAGGGAGGAGCTGGTGGCACAAGGGAGCTCCAGAGCATGCCACAAGCACAGCATCCCACAGGGATTCACAGCATCCCATGGGGATTCACAGCATCCCACAAGCAGAGCATCCCACAGGTGTTCAGAGCATCCCACAAGCAGGGCATCTATCTTGGGTTCAGCAGCAGCAGTCATTTTTTCTCCCTCTTGGTACCTGGTGCAGGCTGAGTTTTTGACTTTCAGCCTGGGAACAGCGCTGATAACACTGATGCTTTTCGTTGCTGCTCAAACGTTCAGTCTGACCGAGGACTTTGTGAGCCTCATGCTCTGCCATGGAGGGAGGAGGAAGGGAAGCCGGGAGGAAGCAGAGACAGGACACCTGACCCAAACCAGCCAAAGAGGTATTCCATACCACAGCACGTCATGCCCGGGAGGTAACAGGGAGTTACCCAGAAGGGCACTCACTGCTCGGTTGGGCTCGGTCGGCGGGTGGTATTGTATTCTCTTCCCTTGTTATTTCCCTTATTGTTATTGGTGTAGCAGCAGTGGTTTGTGTTACACCTTAGTTACTGGGCTGTTCTTATCCAACCCGGGGGAGGTACATTCTTTCGATTCTCTTCCCCATCCCTCCAGGAGCGGGGGCAAGGGAAGAAGGGGGGGGGGGGAGGTGAGCAAGCGAGACTGCGTGGCTGACTGGGTTTTAAACCACGACTAAAGTTGAGATTGCGATTGCATGGGAACCTAGATACTCCTCTACCACACAACAGCAACATTTCACAGAGTAAACTTAGGCAAGAAGCTAACTCCGCACAGAAAAATTACCTTCAGCAACCAAATTGCTGTCATCCATCAGGTCCTACTTTGTTCCTCATCTGCACAGAGCTGTTTCAGGTCTCGGTTTCCTCCTGATTTGTTAGGCTAGGCGGCCACAGCACATTTTTTTAGCACTAATGCATACCTTGAACACAATACCTGTTGAAATAAAAGCCACTAATTGTCCTATTTTATAAGAGACAGCTGAATATTGTTTTCAGAAACCTTAAAGAATCTTCAGCTTACTTAAAAATTGTGGTTTACTTTAATCTGTATCCGAATAATAAGCTTGTACCTTAAAGCAGAATCCATGGTTTGTTGGTGCTCCAGAAATCTTTTTGCCTGTCAAAGACATGTACGTATCACTAAGGCTGAATTCACAGAAAAACTGCAGATGCCTTGGCTCCTAAAAAGAAGAGCAATATACTATAGTTAGACTATTTTTAGCCAGCCCCTCCAGAGAAGAAAATCAGGAGATGTAGTGGTTATCCTGGTCCAAAATAGTCTTAACATACTGTACGTTTAACTCCGACATTGTGAAATCTACAAAGAGACAACTCAGCAGCAATTTCATAATGCAGAGAAAAACCACATCAAACTAGTCAAAGAGCTCATTCTGCCAGAGAGGGAGAAAAACCGAAGTACAAGTGATGACACTTCTGGGAAAGCATCCGCTAAATTCAAGCCACAATAATATTACAGGAGGAGTCACGTTTTGAGAGCTGTATGCATTTCAAACATCAAAATAAAAGGTACTTTCATAACCTGAAAACTGTCCACTCCTCTTTCTAACCATTCTCTCCATCCTCTAAGATGAACCAAGCTAAGGAAGAAAACAAAAGAGGTTTGCTGAAGGATACAAAAGCAGCTCAATGATTACTCTGGCAGTTAGCACAGAAAATTCAGAACAAGAAAAATCTTTAAGTGCTTTACGTAAAAGGTGTCTCGACTCCAGTGTATCCTGTTTAACATTATCAGGTTTCAAGAACCGCCACCAAAAAGTTGAAGTAGTAAAATGGAAAACTGTACAGTGACAGAACGTGAGAACTCGCAAAATCTTCCTGTAAAATCCCTTTATACACAGGGGTTTTTTATTTTACATCATGAAGTAAGACAACCCCTTTTCAAAGCACCTACTTCCACTTCAGCATTTTAACTACCAGCTGAAAATTGATTTTAAAAGAGTACGCTGTTAACTGACTGGAAAAATATTGATCAGAATGAAGCAAAGTTAGGCAAAAGGAAATTACTCTAAGACAATACTTTTCCAATTTTATATCGCTCTACATTTTATCCAGAATAAATATTTTTCTTCCTTTTTGTCGGTGGAAGTTGAAATTCAATTTTTTCTTATTAGAACAGATTTTAAATACATACACCTTTGCTCTAACTTCGTTATGTTATTATGTTCTCCCTTTTTTATTTTCCTTTACCTTAGATGTACCTTTAGTGGAAAAATAGAGGCCAGATCTTCTCAAAAGAAAGTACAGTTCTGTCCGGGATTTTTCCCCCTGCTCCTTTGCATGCAAATAACTGTGAATCTCAGGGGATGTGCTGGAGCTTAGGAACACCTGAAAGAAAACATCAGATATGCATTTCTCCTTCCACCTGAAACCAGCTTTCTATTTCACTAACATACTCAGACAGAACTAAGGGGAATAAACCCCTAAATCCAGTATCACACCACAGGAATTCAATTATGATTGCATCTAATCCCATTAAGAGTACTTCTGACTTAAGATGTGTAGAATGTTACACAACTCCAAGGTAAGCTAAGCAAGTTACATATTTATATAGAACGTATGGTTTGAAATGAGAGCATTAGTTATGCAATACGTTGACTTCAGCAACAAAACCAGTGTTAAGAAGTTCTGATCCCATGCCTCAGACCCTACGTATAGAAAACTGCAAATGAACGCTACCAACAGATGAAGAAGAAACAAAACAAAGCTACCTCTCCTTCCTCCTGTGTTACAAACCAGGTAAAGGAACCGATCTGAGCTAAAATTAATTCAGCAAAGAACTCACAAAAACTGAATCACAAACCCATGCAGGTCAGGTAGATGTTACCATTTTCAAAAGGAGGAGACAAAGGAGCCACCTGAAGGGGTGCCTGAGCAGGAGCTTTAGGAGCCAGAAGCAGAAGCTGGGCCAATCGTCGAGACAGCTGCTCGAGATATTCAATGGCTTTGCTTTAGCCATTTCAACCAGACATTGTCAGAGCGCAACACAACTGTTACCTAGCAAGACACTGTTATCTTAGCAAAGAGCAAGTACACAGTTCTACTCAGTCTGCAGGACAAAACTGCAGAAGTACCCATTAAAAGCTGGCAACCACATTAACTTTATGCTCGTTCCATGAAATGCATTATTCATTTTTATTCCTCTTCTTCCAATAAAACTGCTCAGAACAATGACTCACATCTAAGCATACTAACCTAGAATCCTTCAATTTCCATATACGCAAAGGAACCAACTTCATTACTAAGCTCTTAAAGGAAAATTGCCCCAGGCTGGTCTGTACTATTATCAATTCTATCCAGACTTCTACAGAGATAGGCAACAAAGGGGTTTCGGG